CTCACCTGTGATATGCGTTATCCCATCATAATCCCATCATGATGATTTTTAATCGCATGGCATATGCCTCCCTCTGAAAGATAAAGTTCCAGACAACTCGTGTGAGTTGTGAGCTTTCTGGAAATTTACAACAGACAGCAGATTTCAAGAAAGGAAACAGCTTTGAAAAGCAGGTGCTTACAAGTGAAGGCAATATAAAATCTAGATGCAAAGTATCTGCAAACACTCTAGCATGCCATTTTCCTCCTGAGAGAAATTAAAAGTGTATATGATTATCATGAAGGCAAAGATGAAACAATGTGGTCAACTTCTGCAAGGGTAGAGAGATGTTGGGCAAAAATCTAAAAGAAGACATTTGTTGGTGGAAAGATAAGCTATTTATCACGTTGATGGTCTTAAAAAAAAGGCAAATGTTTTTCTTTAAGATTTCATCAATACTTGGGTAAATCTTCATTGGGTTCTCAACAAACGCTTGGATCCTATCAACAGCACGGGTGTGCTTATTGCTTTGCCTTGGAACTCGTTTTGCGGAATGGCATAGAGTTCGTTTATCAAAGGATNAGTGTATATGATTATCATGAAGGCAAAGATGAAACAATGTGGTCAACTTCTGCAAGGGTAGAGAGATATTGGGCAAAAATCTAAAAGAAGACATTTGTTGGTGGAAAGATAAGCTATTTATCACGTTGATGGTCTTTAAAAAAAGGCAAATGCTTTTCTTTAAGATTTCATCAATACTTGGGTAAATCTTCATTGGGTTCTCAACCAACGCTTGGATCCTATCAACAGTACGGGTGTGCTTATTGCTTTGCCTTGGAACTCGTTTTGCGGAATGGTATAGAGTTCGTTTATCAAAGGATGAAAGATTTAGAGCCAGTATTCCATCAGTGCTATGTGTAAGGTCAACAGGAAACAGGAAGGTGATATAGAAAGGTGTTCATCACAGTTTAGTACTGTTTGACGCGGAGGTTTTTTGATATATCCCATAACGAAAGTGTTATATTGGCACTCAGCTCAAAGTTTCAGTACAGCTTGGTACCAAAGGGACATGGAGGCTGTCAGGTATTCATTTGGAGCTGGAGTGTTGTTTGTATTTTTTCAACGTGTAAATATCATGAAAGGTTAAAAGGTTATTCGTGGGCTAAAAAAGGTGGGAACAACTATACTCTATTATTGTAGAATGTTTGTATGCCTATATTTGATATTTTCAAAGTGCATACCTTGTTCGTTGGTAGTGTACCAACGAATGTCGTCTTATGACAAACATAACTCTCTGAAAGAAAAGAAAAGGAAAGTTATCAAGTGTTGTTCTGCAAACGGAAGCCATGGAATTCAAAAGCAGGTGTAATAAAACAGCGTGTTCGACAATGTACTACTTACCTGCAGCTCACTTTGAATTATATGTGAGTTTGAACTGCAAGAAATTACAGAAATATCAGTGTAATCATATTGCTTCAGTATACTGCAGTAGGATGGAGCTGCTACTCGAGGACTCTAGGAGAATAACTATTTTTCGTCTCTGGTAATGGTTTGGCCAAATTGAATTTAATTGTCATACAGAGGTAGATTTCTAGCTTTCTGGTGAAGGAAATGGATATTGTTTTCAAAAAGCAGTGCAGTATATGAAATTGAGAAAGAAATTCTGGAGAGGAATCTTCACATTTGTCCCCAGTACCATTTTTGGCTGCTATATATGAGCCAGCCCAGAGATTTTATCCCTCATTAGAAACCAAGGTACAACCTTGTTAAGGCTTTGTAGAATTGTATCCTTACCTCGTTATATGTTGTCTTATTTCCAAGCCTTCATCCTGCAAAGAGATAAAGTTGAATTGTTCTTGTGGTGTGTGTGTAGAAACTTCATTCATATTCCGGATTGTTTATTATCTCAGATTCATTTAGGAATTGCCTTTGGAATGACTCTTAAGAGTGAATGTCTGTAAAAATCGAAGAAGAATCTAAAAAGGTGGCCACGGTCAAAAAATCGATTTGCTCATACTCTGCCAGTTTGAAGGCCCAGTTAAGTAACTGAAGGAAATCAAATTACTTTTTGAAATATCCAATATAACGGCAGAAATTCACTAAAAACGCGATAATCCGAAATTTTACCCTTTTGAGTTTCTTGCTACACAGACGTTTACATTGCTGTAAAACGATCTCAACTTTAATTGTATACATTGACTCTTCCTTAATCAAGATATGTGATTATTCTCATTTCTTTTGTTTTCTGAGCGAACTGAGCCCCGATTAAGTAGACACACTTTTCTAATTAAAACAAAACTCGAAAATTATGCAAATTTAGTGAGGAAAAAAGCTGACCGGTAGTGCTTCAAATAGTCTGATATTCAAGCCAAAGACAGTTCAGTCAATTAATCTTAGGTTTCCAGTTTCATTTTTGTGGGATCCACTAGCAATTTGGATGAACGCCGATCAAAATTCGAGAAAATTGCAATATTCAGCCCCTTTGAAACTTGCAATGTAACGCAAAACGCCAAAATAGGTAAAAATATTTTGTTCGCTTGAGACAGCACAATCAAAGCAGATGAATGTCTGAAACGTTTGAAACGCTTTCAAAGTAGTATTTAACCGAAAAAATCGCCGACAAGAGTAAAAACAAGAGAAAAAGAAACACGAAACTTTTAAATCACCACCCGCAACGGAGCCTACGCTCATCCTCTAAACTTCTTTTCACTGTCCCTACTGTGAACTCTGTGACATACGGTGAACGTGCCTTTTCTTTCTCCGCACCTATATTATGGAACAGTCTACCGGATTCTGTTAAAAATACAACATCTCTTTCGTCTTTTAAATCTGCCCTCAAAACATTCTTGTTTCGGAAATCTTACTTTTGATTTATTTTATTTTATGAGGAACTGTATTTTAATTAATTATTTCATTTATTTTATTTATTACTGTTATTAGAAATATTTTATAGGATTTAACTAATTTATTTTTATAGTAATGTAAGCGCATTGACTTTTTTAAATGCGCCCAAAAAACTTTATTATTATTATTATTATTATTATTGTTATTATTATTATTAAATCACACTCTCCATCTCTCTCGCTGCCCAGTGTCACGCTCGAGCGACTTTTCAATGAAACACAAATTTAAAATCCATTTGTTCACCGGTCAAAATGAGTCAAATTTTAATAAGAAGATCTTTGTTGTTGATGTGCGAAACCCTGCATTAATAAGAGAGGATTACCCAGTCAACCTCCTGAACGAAGTGAAAAAAGGCCCCAATGGTATACACATATTGGAACGATGTTAGAGATTAAAAGCTCTATGCCGTCGTTAACCAGGAGGAGGTTATCTGTTTTCACGAACAACGTACTAATCAGAGAGGAATCGGAGTGAGCTGGATGAGTTAGAGACACGCCGAAAAGACGATATATATACTGCGCGAGTTCGCGAGTTCGCGCCGTTCTTCAATACGGTGGGATTTGTGGCATAAACAAACGCAGTTACGGTGATACCGCTCATACAGTGTAACAAGGATATCAAAAGCAGCTAAAAGTCCTTCAGATTTTCTTACGTTGAGACACGAGTGAAGAATATCTCTGGCAAATTTGTGCGTTTCGAGAAACCGAGAAACTTTTTCGAATCGACCATCTCATTGATTAGGTCAGGAGCCCTTGACCGGCTCCTGATTAGGTACAGGTCCGTAAGTTGTTTCATGTCACTCAAGGATCTGTGGAAATTACCAGCACGGCAAATGTGAATGAATTCGTTCAAGTCCATGAATTAACTAAGATTTAGAACAATTCCTCCCTGTGGACTTAAGCCAGTAGCGAAGTCTTTGATGAACAGAGATCTAGAAACTCTCCCCAATGATAACAACCCATATTTCCGTGATATTCCGGTCCATGACTAGCACTTGCCGGCTTGTACTTTAAAATCAGTCTGACCAGATAAAAGGAAACACGCCAGTCCTTGTGTTAAAAGTTTTCACCAGTGAAAGAAGTCGAGGTAAGCAACTACTTCAGAAATAATAAATAATTTTAGTAGTTTTACCGGTCACACCCGTAGTGACTCGCCAGAAGCAAGGTTGTCCAGTTCTGGCCCTCTTCATGTCACGCAACGTCGAGAGAGGCCAGAGGGTTCCCCTCTCTCTCGGCTCTCTCCCGACGATTCGTGACAGAGAAAGGGCCAGAACTGGACTGGAAGCAAGGAAACAAATTTTAAGCGCGCAAGAATTGCACCAATGTCGCACACAACATTTGTTTAATTACGTTTGGCCACCTTGTTGCAACATCCAACATCTTACAGGATATGTTTTCGAATTACTTCTTGTTAACTTATTTGAACTGAAAAGCTTGTTAAACCAGGGCCGGAGGCAGGGTTCGTAAACTGAATGCGGCAGTAGCAGGTGGTATAAACGATCCACTGGACTATGTGACAACGTCTGGGTAGCACTGACTTTTTCACAAGTGCAAAATATACTGCAGGTTGAAGATATACCAACATGTCATTGGCTACAAAAAAGAAATATCTATCATGGTTCGGTGCTATATAGCAATGAAAACCAACCGTGGCACCACAAATTTGGTTTGCAAAAGGACAATTTATATCAGAAGTTATTTCTCACTCCCACTCCAGCGTTGTCAATGCAATCATCAACTCTTTTCTCTTTTCTCACCCTGGAAGTCGATCATGAAACTGATACTGAAGTCTCTTTTCCCACCCGCTCAATGATACCGAATGCAAAGCTGGGCTTTTATGTACTGGACGAAGTTTCAAAGGAAAACAAATGGAAGGTTAAGTTCTGTAGAAAGCTCCATCATCTTCTACAGATTTGACACATCTGCCCAGTCCGTCACGTGTTCACTGCGTGTCAGCACCGTAAAGCCCTATTAAGCGTTGTTATTTGAGAAAAGCTTAACAGTGCGTTTAAACTCCCGTATATCCTTGCTGCTGCATATTTGAATTGCTTCTGGGAGGAGTTATCCAAGCGCAAAGGGAATCTAAGAGCAACTGGTGGGAAAAAGACTTTCACTCCATAAATTACCTGACCTTCGCCACAGATTGTCATTTCCAAAAAATTTTTCAGTTTCTCGAAACACCCACATCTTGCCAGCATAAGCTACAACTTTTGTTTAAACGTCAACAAACTTCAAGGAATTTTTGTGGTTTTTGATATCCTTGTTTAATTACACTGTGTGAGAAAAATAGTGCGAGTCGAGGAAGTGCTAGGTTCGCTCGTGCCGAAAAACACGAGGTCAACTGCTCAATCCTCTATAAGTAAAGCAAAATCTCCTACATCAAAAGAGATCTTTTTTATATAGGAATTGACATTATTTGAGCCAACGGATTAACACGTGTTTGGTTTGTAACATCAGCCAAATGTATCAGTGATTAAGTTTGGCTCTACTTATGTCTTTTCGCAATTACAGGCTATTTCTAAGTTAAATACTATTTTTAAAAACGTTTAAATGATGAAAACGTTTTAGGCATTAATCTGCTTTCATTGTGCTGTCTGAAGCGAGCAAAAGATTCTTCCCGGGGGGGGGGGG